TGTGTGTGTGTGTGTGTGTGTGTTTTATATGTGTGTATAGGACTTATAAGTTGTTCAAACATACAGACTATCGAAAGATGCTACATTGGCATTGTGTGAATATGTACGACCTTATGTGCAACCAGCTGTTAGATCTACAGCAATTCCATTAGAATTAAAGGTAGTATTGGATACATATATGTATATATACATATTATATATAAATATATTTAAAAACATTATATAATAATCTGAATTAGTAGTGAGAGACATATTACATGTTATATGAGTTTTCTTAATTATAGGTTTTGGGAACATTAAATTTTTTAAGCTCTGGATCCTATCAGAGAAGAGTCGGACAGGATTTTTTAAATTGTGTCTGCCAATCATCAATTAGCAATGTAATACATCAAATTGTAGATGCCATCAATATTATAATGCCAGACTGGATAAAGTTTCCAACACAACCCAATGAAATTCAGACTATTCAGCAACAGTAAATTGCAATCAAACTATTATTTTGTTTTGAAAGAAATAAAAAGATATGAATCTTTTTTAAAATTATATCTAAATACGGAAAAACCTAATTAAGCAAAACATGTTTCTATTATGTTTCAGGTATTATATTAATACTAATTTTCCAGGTACAATAGGAGCTATTGATGGCACACATATTGCAATTTACCCACCTGAAAAAAACAGAGAACATTTATATATTAATAGAAAATTGTTTCATTNAATGAATGTCATGATCGTAAGTATTTAGCATTTATATGTAGTTTTTATGTAACTTATTAAATGCCAAACGTTAATATTTATTAATATATAGTTATATTAATAATGTGTTGTTATTAGGTTAGTGATTATTATGGTAAAATATTGGCAGTGAAAGCAAATCATGGTGGCCGTACACATGATGCCAGAGTTTGGAGTTCCTCTCAGTTATCAAGACATATGTTTAGACAATATGAGAATGGAAGACAAAATATGTGGTTAATAGGTAAAAAATGTGCAAATACCTTATCTTTATATTCCAAAAGTTAAAGTTCAAAAATGTTAAAAAATATTTATGTATCCGACTATGACATATATTGACATTTTAATTTCATGTGTGTTTAGGAGATTNTGCATATCCGTTATTACCATATTTAATGACGCCAAAATTGAATGCGCGACCAGGATCTCCAAGTGCATTGTATACAGATTGTCTTATTAAAGCGCGATGTTCAGTAGAAAGAACAATAGGAGTTTTGAAAGGAAGATGGAGATGTTTACGTAAAGATAGGGCTTTGCATTATGCACCAGAATTTGCAGGTAATATTATTTTATTGTGTCTTATATAGAATATATTTTATTTCAACATTTAGTTTGACATTTTATACTTTATTGCAGCACGTATAGTGAATGCTACGTGCGTACTACATAATATTGCTAAGCAGTATAATGTTGCAGACAATGAAATATTTATAGAAGACAATATAGAAGTTCAAGCAANTGAANTAGAAAATAATGCTAATATGCATGCAAGAGGAATTGCCGTTCGAGAAACATTAATACAACAATATTTTACATGAAAATATTTTTATTGTATGAAAATAAAATAAACTATTATCTGTGATAATTTACATTTATGTAGGAGTTACTTATACATGTATAAAACATTTACTTATAGTAAGGAATAAACTTATGAACCTTTAACACATAAACTCATTAAAATTATAGAATATGACAAAAAAAA